TACATATAAAAATATAATATTTATATGAAATTAATTAAAGTGTTAACAACATTTTTAAATAAGTTTAAAAAAAATTCAACAGATCAATGAAATATAGTTGGTATTGTATTTCAATGTAGGTATAAAGTTCAGCATCTGCAGGTGCAAAAGCATATCCTTGCACCTGCTACATAAYACAAGAGGGTTCAAATGCATCGTCGTGCACCCCCGTAATTACGCCACTTGCAACAACAACCAAGCCCGAACAAATCATAAGTTGCAAACAAATCATCGTCTTACTTACTGATCTCCTATTAGCGATATCCACATCGGACGACCCAAAATCCAGTCAACTATCAAGTCTTTTTTAAGCCAAATCGCCAAACAACAATGACCGTTAATTTTAAAATCGTACATTGTAACGCCAATGGCATTTCAAAAAGGATTAACAAACTTAGTGTAATTATTTCTAAAATCAAACTAGACATTATTTTAACAAATGCTTAATGTACCTGGAGGGAGTTTTTTGGTTCAAATGGTAAAATATTTTTTATACATATATTATAATATATATTAATAAAAATTTTCATATTTCACAAAAGAAGCTAGGAATAATATAAAACGTATATGATAACAAATTCGTATAWGTCTCTAGTGCTTCTACCAATATATTATAGGCCATACAAATTGTTTTTATACTTCTCAGCAATAAGTAGAGCCGTAGGGGAGAGTACCATAATATGGGATAGTTTTAGTAAACTCTTAATTTTAGGAATATAAATTAACTTTTTTTCAGCATTTTTAATATTAATACACCTATATATATATATGCATACTTACTAGTACTTATTCCTTTTTTGGTTTAGTGAAGTAAATTTATAATCTATTGTAACAATTATAATATGTTACATGATACCTATATATATATATATATATATGTACTACACGTCTACACACTTAACATTATGTACATGAACTGCTGACCAATACAATAATATTAACACACACTCATAACTGTAAGGCCTATGGTCAATATACACCATGTATGAAGTAAGTTAGTTCACTGTGTACCTTAGACCTCAAYACTCAACAAACATCGAACTCCGTATAACTACGATACAGTCAGATAGTTGGATAGAATATAATTTATATAATTTGTGAGTATTATTATTTGTAAGTGTTTAATCTATAATAAAACTTAATGATAACTGAAACGGAATCCTAGTTATTTAAATGTATTTAAGATCCTGTTATATATATATATATATATACCCCTGGCTACGGTAATTATATCTATAGAGTCCTACGACTCTMACTAGGTATCTTATATTTAACTGGTCATTCCCCCGACCACGTTACACTATTTTGAAATAATATTAAAACATAATAAATTCATTATTTCAAATTAAGGTCCTAATAAGGGATAGTAGGTGACCCCAATACTGGATGGTCAATATTATACAAACAAAATACAATTTTAAGTACCAACTTGGTAAAATACTATACTTATTTAAAACAAGTAATATAGTAATTAATTACATAATAAGTGATGTATGTCACAAAATAATTAATACTTTAAAGTAATAATTCAACAATAATAATTAATAATTAATATTGTATTTATCATAATAACAATGGTTTTAAAAATCTTGTTTAGTTTTATTGAAAACAATTAAATATATTTTGAAGTCAGATTATAATATTTAAAAATGTATTTATTATATATAATGGGTATCCAATATTAGGACTATTATTGTGTCCGATATTAGGAAACATTGAACATTTATAAAAAGTTGTCATAATAATTGAAGAAAGAAAATTGTAAAATGTTCTTAGTTAATTAAAACTAAAATACATATAGTGCAGGTTAAATTAAACCATAATAATATAATAAAAAATTTACTTACCTTGTAGACGAAAAATCCATTCACAAACATTGTTGTATGTAGTAACTATCTTATAGTAACTATCTTAATTCGTGGTTACCAGATATGTTTGAACATATTTTTCTTAAGATTTTCTGGTGTCCTATATTAGGCGCCTATCCAATATTCGGGCACTCTCCCCTAAACATCTACCAATAACAAAAATAAATGGTAAGAAATTAAATTTAAAAAGTGGCCTGAAAATATTTGTTGAAATGTTGAAACACCTACCCCTAGCATGCGGTACTATGGTAGTTTCATCTGGGATCTCTTTACAGTTACCCAGTTTTTCAATCTGGTCACATTAAATATGTTCAGTGACGATTTCTAAAATTTCCCGGTTCCTTCATAGGCGCCAAGATTTAAAAAAAAAATCATCATCATTTCTTAATAATTTTGATATATGGTGACTTACATTTGCATTACTGCTATAACACTGACCATTAAAGTATGTAATTTAAATTGAGTTAGAATTAGAATTGAAGGTTAACAGTCAGATAATAAGTTAATTTATATTTTATTGTAGGTATCAAAAAATTCTAAACACTGTTCAGACTACAAATACATCTAAATATATCATCAACTATACGAAAAAGTATTGATACTTGCTCTATACATGGATTGGCTGTTTTTTCATCCACAATAATATTAACCATCAATTTATTAAATATATTCATCTACTACAAAACCTTTTTAAAATATTTTTTTTTAAGAATATTATTAGTTATTAACAAAACATGATCCCAATTTTTAAGGAGTGATCGGCACCATGAACAAATTTCAACGGTACCTAMCTGAGCACCTGTCTGCATGGCACCTATTGGTTTTTTACTTGGCATCCGTCAAGCACAGCATATGGTTATAAATCCATAGCTACCAGACTATATAGCAGGGGTGGCCAAACCGCGACTCGCGTCATAGACTTTTGCGGCTCGTATCTTTATCGTAACATAACAAAAAAAATTTTTAATATGAATTTATGTATTTGAAAAAGTATAATATTTTATTAAATTAAATTAAATTATTAAATTACAGTGTATATAAGTAGAAAAAAATTTGTAAAAATAAAGTATTCTTGATATCATTTTTCTTAATTGACTATTTTCTTATTTGTTACGTGTTTATTTTGCTTGTAGATAAGCTTTTTAAAATCAGGACTATATGTTGTTAACGTAGTCCTTAACAATTCAGTTAAATTATCATCCGTTAATGTTGATCGATGTTTAGATTTAATCATTTTCATGGTTGAGTATAAAGACTCGCAAGAATATGTTGTTCCAAAAATCGAAATTAATTTTTTGAGCGCAGAGTAATTTTTGGATATTTAATAACAGGCACATGTTTCCAAAATTCCAACAAAGAATGACAACTGTATTTGAACTGCTTCAGTCCTTCATCTTCCAATAATTCCAAGATTTCAATTTCTAAAGCTGCCGTATCCATKGAAATCGATTTTAATATTGGACATCCATTTTCAATAACGTTAACTACAAAGGGATTTTCCAGAAATGTAATCGAAGGTTTAAGTAATTTCAAGTCTTTAAATCGATCTTCAAAGTGAGTTGATAAACACTCTAATTTTTGTACATAATCTTCACAATTCAATTTTGTTGCTATTCCAACCAAATAATCCTCAATTTTTTTTAAATACGGAAAATGGTTTAAATTATTTGTTCTTAAGTCTCTTTRAAAAAGTTTAAGCTTATTTTGGAAACTAAAAATKTCTTGTACTAGGTTATTTATAAATTTATTTTTACCTTGAAGAGACATATTTAATGTGGCTAAGTGATGAACAACGTCAGTACAAAATGACATATCTCTTAACCATTGTGGGTCTGAAAGTTGTGGAAAATTTTTATCTTTTTCTTTTAAAAATGTTTTAATGGGTTCTAATAAATCGAAAAATTTTATTAAAACGTTATTTACCGATAACCATCGAACTAAACAATACCACGGAATATCATTTGGAATATCATCCTCCAAACTTTCAACAAAGTTTTTAAATTGGCGATGTATTTTTGAACCTGAACGTATGTAATTCACAATTTTAAGAACAACACTCATCACATGTTCATATTTAAAATATTTAGCCGTTAGGTGTTCTCTATGAATAATGCAGTGAATTGGAATAAAGTCTGGGAAATCAGTATCACTTTTTAAAATACCTATCAATCCATTTTTACAACCTGTCATACTGGGTGCACGTGCACCATCAGTTGAGACGCTAACAATTTTTGCAATAGGTACTTCTGCTTTACGAAGTACTACGTCAAGAGCATCCTTAATATCACAACCTCTAGTAGTTTCTTTAAGAGCTATAAGATCTAATAATTCTTCTTTCACTTCCATATTCATCGTCACATAACGTACAAAAATAGCTAACTGTGGTTTATCCTGAATGTCAGTAGATTCATCTAACGCTAAACTTAATGCAGAACAATTAGCAATTTCATTTTGTAAATTAGAGAAAATATCTGAACTTATCATTGAAATACGCCTTTCCATAGTATGTCTATACTATTCGAAATATTTTCAACCATATTAAGTAATTTTTTATCTTCCGGTTTTAAAATGGAAATAACATCTAAAGTGTTTTTTGTTAAATATATCCCATCTGTGTATGGGCGCTTTGTTCGAGCAATATTAAACGCCATACAAAAACTCGTTTCAGTAGTGATATCGGTTTCTTTGGAAAATACCGCCATAACATTGGTTTGTTTATTTAATTTTGATTTCATTGTGCTTAATTTATTTTTTCTCAAATCAGAACCAGTAGGAAATTCGTTACTAAACAAACTGTGATTTGTTTCATAATGACGTTTTAAGTTACTCACCTTAAATTGTGATAGTTGGGATTGACAGATGAGACAAAATGGTTTACTGTTTCGTTCTATGAAAAAGAACTCTTCTTCCCATTGTAATTTGAATTCTCTGTGTTCTTCTTCATACTTGCGTTTCTTAGACATAATAATTATTTTATTAATGTTGTGTTGTTACACGCATGACGTCAAAAAACACTATGAAGACATAACATCCATTATCCATGTGTGTCTATGTCTGTATGATATTTATGGTATTTATGAAGATAAAATTTAATTTGAGATTATTGTACAGTTATTGTTATCTCATTCTTCACATTTTATTAAATACCATACCTTAACTTATCTTATTTACAATAATAAAATATCATATATATAAATATATATATAAAAATTATATAATAATATGACCTTTTTTTTTTTTGTATTTTGGCTCTTCCATATTTATTAATATATTTGGTGGCTCGCAAGTCTTTTCTCGCTGGCCACCCCTGCTATATGGGATGAACATCTTGCAGACATGCACTCAAAACTCAATCTTCAGTTTCCAAAGAATATCTTATCTGGAAAAATTACTCACACTCCTGTCTTTAATTAATTTTAAGGCTCCTCAGCAAACTGTTTGAAATTTTACAACCTTTTACATTCTACTTTWTCAACTACAAATTATATCGAATGAACCCATATGTAAATATATTAAAAAGTCAAAAAAATTTTTTTGAATGATTTATTGTTGTTAAATTAATTGAATTTTATTTAATATAATTGTCAAGAATTTAGAATCTAGAATTTGGATGATAAGCAGATCAATAAAACTTTGAGGGATTGATATTGTACCAATTATCAGCTTTTGTTTATGAACACAAGTATTCAAAAATGTATATTCAGGAAAAAAATACAGTTCAATTTAATTGTTAATTAAAATCTATAATTAAGTAAATGAGTCTTTATCTTACTAAAAAACTGAATTATAACTAATATTAGTATTACACGCTAAAGTCCAATCATAAAACTAAATTATTATACTAAGTCTTGAATTATATAAGTATACATATTATGGTACATATATTGTTCAAATGTTTAAATACTGTAAATATTTAATAGGTTTTGATTAAAACATATTCTTGTGTACTTAAGCAGAACAAGTACAAGCTGCCAAGATTACAATAATAACATTGCCATTTTTAAATATTTAATCATCAACATCGAAAACCTGTACTCTCTCCTACTGACTAGTATATAAAAATAATAATTAAGTTTAATTCAAAAATTATAGAATTAATCATAATATTGTGTATTCATAATTCATGTATATTTAATATTTTTATATCACAGGCCATCGCTGAATAATTTACAGTATTTTTGCGTTCGCTCGTAAAAGATTTCATTTTTTTGAATCGACTATTATCTGATCTCCTTTAATTATATTGTAACTATATAATCTCTTGTTCGGAAACTTCATTTCTTCCGGGCCAATAACTGAACACACATGTTGATCCATGTAAAACACTCGCATACGGTGTGCTGGTATACCGGAAAATTTTTCCAATTTTTGTTTGAGTTCATTCACGGTCTGATATACATCTAAAATATGTTGTTCACATTTGTCACCACAAATAATCTTCACCTGAACTTTGCTTTCAGGTGTCAAGTCTATATTTACTAAAGGATCAAGTTTTCCGTGAACTTGGACCAATTCATAATACCTGAAACATTTCGACATTAAAGTTAGTGATAATTTTTGTTTGAATATCGAACTATTGAGAAATGCACTAACAGTTTGGAATACTATGACCCTAGTTCCGATTCATATAGTTCTACGTTAAGTCTGTACTGGCTCAAAAGTGTATATTATAAATTATAATATATTAATATAATATGATATGTATTATACTGCTRTAATTAATAATACAACAATTGCAATATTATTAGCATTCGACCTACCGTATTATTAATTGTAAAATAAATAATTTTAATACAACATTATAAAATATTCATATAATAAATTGTACTTAGTAATGTAGGCTGACAGACAGTCATCGTCTAGAATAATATGCATAGATTTATCATTGAATTCAAATTTAATAAATCCATTACAGTGGCCTACTCAAYAACGAGGCTCAATAAACGCCTACTATAGGTACAGCAGAGAAGTTATCTATTTTCCCACTTTTTTAACTTAATTTTTACTAACTATTAACTTATTACATTAAATTATAACTTGTAACATTATATATGGCCAAGGCTTCTTTTAGTTTCATAATACTTGATAATTATATGTCAACAATTTCATACAAATATTCTGCTAAATTGGTTATTATAAAATTAAAAATATAGGTTAGCAGATTGCCATTTTTAATTCAAAAGTTAATAGTGGGTTCAATAACAACTAAACAAGAGTAAAATCCAACCTAAGATACCTGTTATGGAATGATGTGTTTATGTTTATTTTATTTTAATGGACAATTAAAAGCTGTGCTAGTAAAAATAATACTTACGAGTTTAATATTTAGTACCTAATATTATTTTTTACCTTTCAGGTCGTTCGTTTTCAGGCTTATCCATGTAATATCTTATTAAAAACCGTTCAGCATCTTCTCTATCATCAGCTGTRATTTCTGCTCCGCCATTTAAAGTTTGTATGCACGGTAATCGTGCAATTAGCAACTGTCTGCGTTCGTGTTCTGTGTATTCTTGTCTTTCAGAGTTTTCCTAAAACAAAAATAATCAGTTCCCATTTCCATTACAGAAATTTAAAAAAATATATGTATATCACTCACTTCGAATATCGGACATCCTTGTATCCTAAGGTATCTTAATGCAGGAAATCGTCCCAGGATGTCAACGTCGTCCCACGTTCTAATTAAGGTTCTGTTTAGGTTTAGGAATTTGAGATGTGTAAATGCATCGTGTGGTGAATCCAGCGTCATATCTTAAGATCGAAATGCCACGATTACAATAAAATAAAATCTCGTACATTTTGTAATAACTTACTACAAAATCCACTCCCTTGCCTTGGGTAGGACAACAAGCCTAGGTGAGTATCTGGCGAAGGTGGTGGAGTCATAAGTGACTGCAAGAGGCATTCAGCAAGCACCAACGATTCAAGATTTGGAAATGCTCGACCTAATTTACATACTTCAGACCACGTAGACACAGGGTTTCCTATAAACGTTATATTGTTTCAATTTAGTATTTATACTGAACAGGTAAAAATACACGGAATTATTATAATTTAATTTATAAGCAATAAATAATATTAATGGCACACTTAAAGTTAGGTACCTGTAAAATGTAACCTTTTCACTGAAGGCATTTGAATATGTTGACAATTTTCATCGTCATCCAAGTCGATAACATCGTAATTATTCATACTCAAATGTATCTCTTCGACCCTATTGGAGAATTTTTTATGTAAATCTAATGAAACTTTTAAAATTGAAATTAACTCACATGGGTATTCGTTTCAAAATGTGTCTAAAGCTGCGCCATGTTATATTTGTAGAATTCAACACGATACTCTTCAAACACGGGTATGTTTCTTCAGTGTCGTCGCAAACCTCAACTGCACTATTTATATCTGAACTTAAATTGTTAAAACTTAGATTGGCGAATTTCAGTCTCGGCATGATATGTAATATTTTGAATATCTGAAATTATATATATTTAAAAAGAATTAATAGTATATAATTATAGCACTATGWCGTATTTCAAAGATTGTGCATCGGACCAAAAATAAATAAATAAATATTTAAATTTTTATATTTTATAATACTTTTAGGGAAAATAATATTACCATATATATAT